ATAGAAACAAATAAAGATAAAAGAAAAATTGTAACACTTTGATTATGTTCTGATTATGTATTTGTAAATACTTAACAGAAACTTTAAACACTGTCCTATTAAGGGAAGACTATTGTTGGAAAATGCAGAAAGGGTATAGTACCCCAAAGTGTCCTGAAAGTCATTTGTACTGTTCCCAGTTGAAGTAGGAATATTTAGATTTCTGCTTAATTGACTCACTTGCCTGATCCATTAAACATTTTAACATGCCATTATATAGGTTAGGTGGCACTGGACTGTATCAGGATGGGGTCAAGATTACTGTTCTGTTCTCATTAAAAGGAAAATCCATTTGCCATAACTATTTTCCAAGACAGCCCCACCCCTTAAGTCTAGCATGTTAGGAGGGGAAATCTATGCTCTTGTTTAGCTTGTGGACTGTTGTATCTCATTAGCTACTATACAGTAAATGCTTGAGATATAATGCTATTACAAGTTATTTTGCATTTTTTTCGAATGGATGGAAGTTATTATATATCGATACACTTTCAAAGAAATTAAGGTGTTTTTACTTTCCTGAATTTTCCAGAATGAATATTTTAAAATCTATTTTCTATTCATCAATACAGTGTTTCCTTTTTTCAAATTTCATGAATGAATTTCATTTCTATCAACTACAGCTTTGATAATTAAAAATAGTAAGCCATTTGAGTGTAGTGCAAATTCAGGAAAAAATGCCTATGAACATAAAATTAAAAGCACTGCACATATCAAATACGTGTATAACTGAAATATATAGATACTTCATCTTTTAAAATAATTTTTATATGCTATCAGAATGCTTGCTGATCAATAATGTAAAGAGTGATTATTATGTGTCCTAACTCTTTTTGAATTAACACTAGAAATATGCTTGATTAAAGTAGAAGGTAAGAGAATGCCAAAAATTGACATAAAAATGTTTTCAGAAATACAGTACAGTGTGACCACCACAGTCATTTATGTGGGTGAGATGGGCAGTGTATAAATTAATTAATTAATTAAATAAATAAATAACCAATGAATAATTTTATAGATTAGCTAAAATAACTTTCTTCAACTTTGACTGTTATTATACGCCCCTCAGAGAGGGTTCGCAATTTGGGAGTCCTCCTGGATCCTCAGCTGACTTTTGAACACCATTTGTCAGCTGTGACCAGGGGGACCTTTGCCCAGGTTCGCCTGGTAGCAATAGCAGCAATAGCAGTAATAGCAGTAGACTTATATACCGCTTCATAGGGCTTTCAGCCCTCTCTAAGCGGTTTACAGAGAGTCAGCATATTGCCCCCAACAATCTGGGTCCTCATTTTACCCACCTCGGAAGGATGGAAGGCTGAGTCAACCCTGAGCCGGTGAGATTTGAACCGCTGAACTGCTGATCTAGCAGTAGCCTGCAGTGCTGCATTTAACCACTGCGCCACCTTGGCTCTTTATACCAATTGGCTCTGGTACACCAATTGCGACCCTACCTGGATCGGGAGGCCCTTCAGACAGTCACTCACGCCCTTGTGACCTCAAGACTGGATTATTGTAATGCGCTCTACATGGGGCTGCCCTTGAAGAGTGTTCGAAGACTCCAGCTGGTCCAGAACGCAGCCACACTGCAACATCACCCCTAGTCCTTCTTTTCATCAAACTAGACATACCCAGTTCCAGCAATCGTTCTTTTTTAGCTCCAGTCCCTAATCATCTTTGTTTCTCTTCTCCGCAGTCTTTCTAGAATCTCAACATCTTTTTTACACCATGGTGACCAAAATTAGATGCAGTGTTCCAAGTGTGGTCATACCAAGTCATTATAAAGTGATATTAACACTTCATAGGATCTTGATTCTATCCCTGTTTATGCAGCCTAGAATTGTATTGGCTTTTTTTTGCCAGCTGCTACACACTGCTGGCTCATTTAAATGATTGTCCACTAGGACTCCAAGATCTGTCTCACAGTTACTATTATTGAGCAAGGTACCACATATACTGTACCTGTGCATTTTATTTTTCTTGCCTAAATGTCGAAACTTACTTTTTTCACCATTGAATTTCATTTTGTTAGATAGCGCCCAATGTTCAAGTCTGTCAAGATTCTTCTGTATCTTAAGCCTATCTTCTGAAGTGTTAGCTATTCTTGATAGCTTGGTGTTGTCTGTCAATTTGATGAGTTCCCCATCTATCCCCTCATCCAACTAATTGATGAAGACATTGAAGAGCACTGGGCCTAAAACAGAGCCTTGGGGTATCCCACTGCATACTTTCCTCCATGTAGATGCAGTTCCATTGAGGGCTACACGTTGAGTGGGTTGGTTGGTCAGACAAAAGCTAAATATGTCATTGAAATGCACAGATATAATCAAGCTGTCTTGGAAACTTATTTTGAATTTATAGTTTTCTACCTCCATAGTCAGTAATGGCACACTAATAGTTTACCTAAGTATCTTCTGGTAACGTTATACTATAATGTTATACTTTCCCCCCAATGTTGATGAAGTCAATTTTTTCCATCCAGATGACATACACATGTATAAATATAGACATAGAAACAGATGTGTGCACACAAATCTTTATTTCCATATACGTTCTTTATATCCTGTTTCTTTAAGATGCTTCATTTGCATTAATGTTGTATGGAGAGCAAGGACAGAAAATAGAAGTTGATATTTTTTTCACCATCTTTTGCTGGTCACTGTATGCATGTGTATGTACATAAAAATTACATATAAAATATGCGGGAGAGGAAACTGCATTTTGTCACTTACCACCTACAAAAAAAAAGAAAGTAGCTTTCTGCCACTCAGTTGTGCTCCCATTGCTTTCCCCTTCCACGTAGGGCATGTCAAATTTTTCAACTTTCAATTTCCAAATATTAGGGGTGTTCCAAAGTTGTGACATACCTTGGGAATTGTAAAGATATTTTGGTTACTTTAATATAATTTAGATGTGCTTGGTAAGTAACTACACAAATATCATAACTTTTTAACATTTTTGTTTCATTGTTCCAGTCTTCCCTAGGGCCATGCCTCCTAAATTGTTCTCTTCTTGGCAATGGTTTATAGTAAAGAAAAAAACATGTTGCTTTTTACAAGCAGTTAGGAATTTAATTCTGGAAGGAAATCAAAAGCCTTTTACAAAACTGAAATTGTTTTGTTTCTTCAGTTTTAAAAATATGTTCTAAGCCAGTGATAGTTAACCTGGTCCCTACTGCCCACTAGTGGGCGTTCCAGCTTTCATGGTGGGCGGTAGGAGTTTTGTCCGATACTGAAGCACTTTCCTTTTTTTTCAGGTTACATAAGTGAAACTAAATGGCACTATAGTGCGACCGCAAACAAAAGAGCCTCGCCCCAGAATAGCTCATGCATCTCCCCCCACATCACCCAGCTGTAACAGACAAGCAGAGCTGGTAGCCGACACCCCCCCCAACCCAATCCATGATGCGTGAGAGGCATGCTCAGATTATGATACATGGCGCAAGCTCTTTTGTTTGTGGTCGCACTGATCAGTACGCCGTTAGATTTATGAAAGTGAGTATGTGCCTACAGCTTTAAACAAAATATTGTGAAATATTGTGAGCCCATGTCTCAAAGAAAGAAATACGCTCGTGGCTATTTGCCAGAGTATCTGAAGATGGGTTTCATAGCATCTGTTGTAAATAGACCACATCCAATGTGTTTATTGTGTCGTAAAACATCCAACGAGGCAATGAAGCCAAGTCAATTGCGAGAAGCTCTTTCTACAAAGCATCCAAATGATAAGGACAAGCCCATTGAATATTTTCAGGAAATATATAAAAAATTTCAAAATCATTCAACAATCGTTGCATCATTTAAAAAACAACAAGCAGCGCATGAAGATGGATTAATTTCCACTTATCACATTTCACAATTAATTGCAAAAGTGGTAAAAGTTATAATATTGGAGAAACTGTAATAATACTCTTTATAAAAGAATCTATCTCAACAGTAATGCATCAGGATATACCTGAAATTTTTAAAAAGTTGCCCCTAAGTGCACAGTAAAGCAACGAATTGAAGAAATGGCAGTTAATGTTGAAAAAAACCTCATAAGTATTCTCCAATATTATTCAATTGGACGAGTCTACCATTGCAGATAATAATGCTTTATTGATGGCATATGTACGTTATTTTGATGAAAACAATACTTATGAGAAGAAATGCTATTCGCAATAAATCTCATTACAGATACAAGAGGATTATCGATATTTAATATATTCTGTGAAATCATACTTTACAAAAAAAATTGAATAATATTGTTGCATGCGCTACTGATGGAGCACCATCAATGGTAGGTCGCTATCATGGATTTGTTGCTTATTTGAAGGAAGAAATGCCAAATGTTTTATGTATTCATGGTGTGGTGTACAGACAACATCTTGTAGCAAAACATCTAAGTACAAGTCTCCATTCATCATTAACTATAATAATTTGAGCCGTAAACAAGATCAAATCCAATGCAAAAAATGATAGAATGTTTCGACAGCTTTGTCAGGACAAT